ACAGAGCTTGGTAGCAGGCAGAGCCGTTCAAATGTAGGTGCTCGGCTTCCAGAGGGAGTGAGGGCCGGGTCACAGGCGGCGGGCAGGGGGCTCGGGGGCTCCAGGCTGACATCGGAACCCTCTGCTCCCAGACCCAGCGATGTTCTGGGAGGAGGCCCAGGCAGGTGGGGGTAGACGCCTCCAGGTGGCCCGAGCCAGGAAACTGGGTCACCGAGTGACGGGCCGTCATCTCTCGCTGGACAATTAACGCAGCCGCTGAAGCATGGTTGCGGGAGCTTCTGGGCGGAAGCTGGCCAGGACCCGGTGTCAAATTAAAAGCCCCAGACACACACTTTTATGTGCAGCTGGCACTGAGCACAGAGTGGGCGAGCCAGCCAGCAGCGAGGGGCAGCGGGCGGGGGTGAGGGCGGGGCCGAGGGCAGGGGTGGTGCCCGGCCCGAGGCCCTTTGCTGCCCACTGTCCTGCTCTCGGGGAGCACGGGCACTTCTATGAAGAGAACTAGGCAGAAAAAGAAGAGAGGACGGTTCCCTGGTGGGGCCCGGGGGAGGAAGTGGCCGACGCAGGAAAAGGACAATCAGACCTGCTATCAGGACCTCCGACCCTGGCTCCGGGTGCCGGGCCTCTCTCTCCGGGCCTCTCTCCCCAAATCGCATCCCCCCTCCGGCCGACCCCTGAGCCTTGGGGCGGGGAGGGTGGAGACGTCGTGGGACCTGCCCGGGTCCAGAGACTCGGAGGGATTCGAACTCTGCACTGCCCACGGCTTCCCCAGCATCAGAGTCTACGCAGTGGTGTAAGCGGGAAGCCCACCAGCACAGACCAGGGTCACTTTGAAGGTCTCCTGGTCCTTTTCTGGACCCCGAGTGCCGGGGTGTCCTCGGCACCCAGACTGCTTCCTTCACGGGCTGGGTTGGGTCTCTGCCAGGTTTATGGTGGCCCTTGGGGCAGGGGAAGAACAGAAGGAGGGAGGAGGCCCTGAACCCTGGAGACCAGCAGTTCTCAACCTGTGGGTCGCGACCCCTCTGGGGGTCAAACGACCCTCTCACAGGGGTCACCTAAGACCATCAGAAAACACATTTCCGATGGACTTAGGAACCCAGACAGGGCTCCTCTGCCGTCTCCGCGCGGGTCCGCCCACACGCAGCTACGCCCACAGACAACACCAGGAGCTGGATTAAAGGGGCGCGGCACCAGGAAGGTGGAGACCTGCTGCTGTAGACTTTCTGGGGGCATCCTGGCCTCTCATGGAATAGTCAGTACAGGGGTTTTCACCAGAAGCAGAGTCGGGGTCTCAGGAAAAGGACCCCGAGATACTCTGTTCCTGGTCAGCCACTCCCTATGGGGACCCCATGGGCCCAACCCCTCACCCAGGCCTCTGCAAATGCTGTCTCCTGCATCGTTTGTCCTAACTCCTACTCGTCCTTTTTTTTTTTAATCCTCACCTGAGGCTATTTTTCTATTTATTGTCAGGTAGAGAGAAAGGGAGAGAGAGAGAAACATCGATGTGAGAGGGACACATCGACTGGCCGCCTCCTGCATGGCCCTGGCCAGGGCTGAGGACGAACTGCAACCGAAGTATGTCCCCTTGGCCAGAATCAAACCAAGGACTCATTGGTTCGTGGGCGGATGCTCTATCGCTCAGCCAGGGCATCCGACTCATCCTTGAAGATCATTCTAACCGGCACCTCCTCCAGGAAGCCCGCCCTGATGCCCAGGCTAGGCAGATGTCTCATCATTGCTGATCGTTCATTGTCATTATCTGCACTTGAGTTAGGCCAAGTGTATGTCCAGGTGCCCAGCTCAGGGCCTGGCCTAGGAGTGGAGAAGATCGGCTCCCAGTTCCTTTCGGGACCAGAATTCAACCTACACCCTGTCCCCCCTCAGGCCCCTGAAACTGTCCCTCCTCTGCCCTCCATCCTGACCTGGCGAGCCCGCTGCCGGAAGCTGGTACCTGCCCGAGGCTCCAGCAGCCTCTGGGGACCTCTGGCTCCGTCTCCTGACTCCCGTCTACCTTCTCCTGTCGACTCCTGGCTGAGGGACCAGGGTACAGACCCAGCAGGCCTCCAAGCGGCTGGAGCAGCCTGCCTGCAGCCAAAAGCTGGGTCTGCTGGTGACCAGCTGGTGACCAGCTGGGTGACCCGGGACCAATGACCTAACTTCTCTGTGCCTCGCTTTCTTCGTCTGTAAAACGGAGACTCGTCAAATAAGAGTCTGACAGTGGGGACGGGCCTCGCGCCAAGCGGAGGGAACCCTCACCCGTGTCCCAGCGGCCCGGGCAGGGACGTGGCCGGCCCGACGGCTCGGCACGGCGCACGCAGTCAAGGGCTGGCTGTTATTTCACATCCGCTCCCAGCACCGACCCTGCAGCCCTCCGTGGGCCAAGCCTCCGGCTCTCTTCAGAGAAGTCTGGCTCCGTGAGCGTCCTCCCCTGCCTCCCGGAAGGAGGGACAGGCCAGCTGGTGAGGGACGAAGGGGTGTTCCCTGGGAGAAGTCCATGTCCCCTCGGCCCTACTGTGGGCTCAGCACTGGGCCGGACCCTTCCATGTGCCGCCTCTGCCTCTGTCGCCATTGTCCAGGGGAGGCCCTGACACTCAGAGGGCCAGCAACTGCTTGGAGGACTCTCAGCACGTCAGGCCCTGGGTTCTGTCACCCTGCCCCATGGTGCTCGCTGGTCATGGAGCAGCAATAAGAAACAAACACCGTCCCTGGGATTCGCCACAGCCTGGGAACCAGATGAAAAGAGAGAGCTGGGCCTTCTTGTAAACAAGGCTGGGCGGAAGGAGGCCAGGCCCAGCCAGAAGGTCAGGGATGGGGGCAGGCCCAGGGCTTCCCGATCCAGCTGGAAGCCCAGGATCTGAAACTCCAGCCCGACTCAGCACATCTCCTGCCGCCCAGATTCCAGTCTGGAGGCCTGGGAATTGGATGTGATGCCGGGGACAGGAGGTCTTCGATCTCCCTTGTCATTTGTCCACATTCTCGAGGACCTTCTCGCTGTCGGCTCGTGTGCTCCCCACAGAAACCAGACACCAAGGGCCCGGCCACACTGCCGGGAAGAAAGTGACACCTCAGCCTCATCAGGAAGAAGGTTCTGGGCTGGGGAGACCTCGAGGGAGGCACGGATGAGTTCTGCAAAGAGCTACAGGGTATTCTCGTCAAGGCTGAGGGGTCCCCGAACGGCAAGGCTGAGGGTCTGGGTGTCCCTTAGGCCACATGAAATCTGCAAAGGTCACGTGATTTCGAGGGTCACCGTGGTCTTTGCTCCCGCTCCCTGTGTGAGGGGGACGGGGCGTGGAGAGGCCGGGCTCACCCACATAACAGGGCTGGCTGGGGAGAGAGAGGCCAGGAGGCTGAGGAATTCTGGGGGGGAGAGCAGAAAGTGGGGCAGCAGGGACACGCGGGGCGCAGCGGCGTCTGCGGGAGGCTCCCGAGGGGGACGGTGGGAAGAGAGGCCTTTGGAGGAGTCTGAGGGGCATCGCAGAGCGCCCCGGCCTCGCCCACCCGCTCTGGCATCTCCTGACACAACTTTCAGGCTGTGACAGGCTCTTGGTGATAAACAGACCCCGCGGACCCGCATGTCAGAAAACCTCGCCACCGGGCCAGGCCCGCAGACGTTTCGTGGTCCGTCGCTTTCCGTGGGTCTTCCCCGCCCCCATCGTCTCCTCATCACCAGGGGCCCCCAAGGGCCGGCCCAGAGGACCTGCTCGGTGGACACTTGTCAAACTCCGCTGAGCGAGGCCAGGTCTCTGTCTGCTGCGTGATCGATGGGGCCATTATTTGATCGATAAGCACCAGCTGATGCAAGTGCACCTCATTAATTATTGAAGTCGCTCATTATTGAAAAGGTCACTACCCGTTAGCTGTTTAAATGGTCATCCGCCAGCCGGGCTGCGTCTCCTGTGAGGATGCAGCCGCGGTGACCTGGGCATCTGTGACGTGCCAGGTGTTTAATCCTTGGGACGAGCCCAGGTCGGGGGCCTTCTTCACGGGATTGGAAGGCTAAGGGGGGGGGGGGGTGAAGTAACTTGCCTGGAGCTACGGGCTGGTAAAGGGCAGAGGTGGGACTTGAACCAGGGGAGGTTGCTTGCAAAGCTCAGGGGTTGGCAGTGACGACTGTGCCGTAGGTGTTTGCACCTGAGCCGTAGGTGTTTGCACCTGAGCCGTGCTCCACATGGTGAGGTCCTGAGGTGCTGTGCCCACGACTGCAGCATTGGAACCCCTCACCCCACCCCTTACTTGGGGCATCTGCATTTAGCCTGGCTCCTGCCAGGGGCTGACCCCTGCTAGTTGTAGTGGGCCCCTGCTCCGAGGGGACAGACCCTCCTCTCCCCTCTCAAGGCTGCACTGCCCGGGGACCCCAGATTAGGTTATTCCCCACGTCCCATCCGCCGGGACTGGACTGACACGGGTCACAGTAGAAGAGGCCAGACTGGAACACACTCCCTGGGCAGGGTGAACAGGCTCTGCTGGGCGGCCACCTACCAGGCCAGTGCCCTGAGGTCCCACCCCCTTGCTGGTTCCTTCCCGTCTCCCGAGGCCTCCCCAGCAGCCCGCCTGCATGGCGTGACCTCAGATGTCTCTGTGACTCAGCAAACGCACAGTGAACCCAGCAACACGCTCATTTCCCAACTTCGTTCTGAAAATCTCCCCCCCAGCCCCTCACAGACTGATGCGTTTCCTCCCACCAGGCGGTGAAAACCTGGACCGCCAGCCACTTCCCCCCTTTGCCTTGGCAGCCAGGGAACTCACGACTCCGCTGCCCCCTGGCGGCACTGTCTCGCACACCAGGCTCTCTGTGCCACAAACCTGCGAGCTGTGCTTCCGGCGCCCCTCCCCCCTCGCGTGGCCTTTCCTGCCCACGCACCTGTTGCTACCACCAGACTTCAAATCTTTCTGGGCAAATGAGCAGGTGAGCCACAGGTCAGCAGTGGCAATCCTGATCTGGTCCTTTCAAGCTTGCTTGTCAAGTGACCCGGGCAGCCTGAGACGCAGCGGCGGCAACTCACCAGGCAGACGAACTCTGGAAGGTCACCAGCGGCGGGCTGTGCGTGTCTCCCTGCAGCGAGTGCGTGGCCTGGGGGGCCTGTGGCGCGGGGCCTGGGGGGGGCTGGGGCTGCGGGGCCAGCTGCCCCGGCCGGGCCCCCCGGACAGGGTTCCCCCACCGCTGGGGGTCCTGTGTCATCCACCGTCCGTGGATGCCCCACCGCGTCAGGTAAACCTTGCAAATGTCGTAGTTCATTGCCGAGTAATACAAAAGGTCCAGGACCAGCAGCGTCAGCACGAAGAAGCCGTAGATCCACACTCCCAGCAAGGCGGTGTAATTGCTGGGGAAACAGAGAGGCTGAGAGGAGGGCGGGCGAGGGGTCCTGGCTCCCGCTCCTACGCCCACCTGCCACCTCCTCCCCCCTCCCCCCCGCTGCGGTGTCTGCCTCCCCCCAGACCCTGAAATCCCCGGCCCTGGGCCCTGGCCTGGCCTGAGCATCTCCCCCACCCCTGAGTCCTTGGGCGGGGTCCTGGGAGCGGGGCACTCTTAAGCCTTTGACCAGACCGTTGAAACTCGGGAAGCCACCAATTTTCCCTTTTGGGAGGAATTCTGAAGTGGGCATTTGGGTCTCTAAGATGTGATGGGCCCCACCTTCACCCTCATGCCCATGTTGGTGCTACTCACAGACCTGCCGGCGGTCTCCCGTAGGTGCCCCTGCTCACCCAACCCAGGGCCTTTGCTTATGCTGTCGCCGCCACTGGGCTGCCAGCTCCTCCCCATCTTCCTGGGCCCAGGGCAAATGCAGGAAGTCTGTTATCTTAAGACAGACCGACCCAAGCTCCAGAGCTGTAACCCCCTGCCCCTCCGCATCCACACTGGGCTACCTCACACCCCCACATGCTGGGGAACTCAGCTGGGGCACCCCAGCTCCGTTCCAGCCTGCTCCAAGTCTCCCTGTTCTCAGGAGCCCAGGAACTGGCATCGGCTCAGCCGCGTCCCCGCGTCCCACACCATAGTCACCAGTTGGCTGTTGCACCCTCCCTGCCTCTCAGACCCTCCCTCTGTCCCCTCCACCATTCGGTCCCCTTCACCAGGCAACTCCAGACTGTGTGGGCCTCGGGTCTCAGCCCCCCCACCCCCAACATCATTTTTTCTTATTTATTCACATTTCCCACCAAAGACTGCTCCGCCCTCCAGAAGCAGAAATGATGGAGGGCTTTTTTTTCCATTTTTTAAAAAGGAAGGAGGCACAGGGCCTACTCTTGTCATGGAGAGGAAGTTTATCCCCTCAAAGTTTTTGTTTGTTTTAAATATGTTTCTACTGATTTGTGAGAGAGAGGAAGAAGGGAGAGGGAGAGAGAGAAATATGGATGAGAGACAAACATCGACCAGCCGCCTCCTGCACGCTCCCTACCGGGGATCAAACCCGCAACCCGGGCATGTGCCCTCACCGGGAATCTCTCGGCGCACGGGACGATGCGCAACCAACTGAGCCACACCGGCCAGGGCTGACGGGGGCTGTAGGCTGCAAATGCTCCCAGCCCTTCCTGAAGCCTGGTCCCTATCCGGCTCTCTTCCCTGAGGAGCAGGCCCTGCTGGCTCCAACACTGGGCCTTTGCACAGGCTGTGCCTTCTGCCCGGGCAGCCTCTCCTGTTTCTCCACCTCCGCCCCCTGCCTGACTCCTACCCCAGCCTCTGAGACCAGACACGCTGCTCCTCCTACAAGGGTGGGTCACGCTCCTCCTCTGGCTGGAGAGCCCCTCAAGCCCAGCGGCCCCCATGGTGGTGCATACCCTCCCACCCAGGTCAAAGTGCCCCTGTGCCCAGGGAGGGCCACTTCCTGGGCTTGTGGCTGCGGCTGCGGCGCTGTGCTCCAAGCAGCGCTGACCAGGGACTGCGGCTGTTTAAAGGAATTGATTTATCAATCACTCAAATGCCACCTCCATCTGCTCCCTGCGGCGGGCATCTGTTCAGGTGGGTGTGCGCTGGCGGGGGGCAGAGGAGGCACCCTGAGAAGCAGAGCCTCGCCACCGCACATCCCACAGGAGGGACCCGCCCCAGCTCTGGCCAGACGGGGCCCCCTGGGTCCTGGGTCCTCACAGCAGCTTCCTCTCTAGACCCTGTCTGGAGCCAGGGAGCTGGCCCGGAGCCGGCCTGGTTCTGGCTCCTCCTGAGCCGGGCGTGGTCTGGAGAATCCCTGCGTGTCTCTGGGCCCAGAGGAGATGGTGTGCAGGCCCCCCGGCCTCAGTTTCCAGACTCTGGACCTTCCCAGCTCAGTTCACCCTTGGCCCAGCCTTGGCCTCAGCAGTGACTGGGGCTGCCCTCCTTGGATTCCTCCGGCCCCCTGCTGGGGCTGGGCCCAGGCCAGGGATGCTCACTTTTGCTCACATTTGCCCTCTGCTTTCCCTCCCCCCGCTGGTGGCCCTCGAGAGAGGGAGAGGCCTCGGTATGTCCGAGTATGAAGCATGGAGCGGTCACTGGCAGGTGCTCGGGGCTCAGTGCCTGCTTGAAGAATGAGTAACCAGACAATTTCTATCACAGCCACTCTCCCGCAGCCCCATCTCCAGCCACCACCTCTCTAAGGCCTGCAGAAGTCTCGGCAGCTTGTTTAGACTAAGGTGTGAATGACTAACAGCCTTATTGCAAGGGGAAGCTACATTCACCTGGAGACGTCTGGATATGGAATTCCTGCCATGGGACAGAGGCCGGCAGCCTGTCTGGCATGCTGAGGCAGGAGTCCTGGGCAGATGTCCCTGAGGACAGAGGAGGAGGGCCTCCTCCCCAACACAACAACTTCCCCTACCCCCATGTTTTAGTATTGCTATCACCTCCTCCAGGAAGCCTTCCTTGATGTCCTGTGCTGGGTCTAACCCATCCCAAGGGCTCCCTAAGCCACTGGGTTTCCCTGAATACACTGTGTAGTCTTTGCTGTTCTATAGGACTGTCTGCCCGGAGGCAGTTTGGACTCAGACTGGGGTCCAACTTATCTTGACGAGCCCAGAGCTCAGCACCGGGCCGGTTCTGATGTTACTTAAGCTAACGCACAGAGTGCTCACGGCACACTGGTGGCCACAGTGACCTTGATGGTAACTTGGTCGCCAAACTGTCTCTTCTCTGTGCACGGTCACTAAGGGTCAGCGGTCGCAGCAGCGATTCCAACACACCGGAGCCCACGCTTCCAAGCCCGCAGTGGTCCCGGGGGTCAGAAGCAGTCCCCCAGCGTGCACATGCGAGATGAAACCAGCGAGGCCGTCACTGGTCCAAAGCCACAGAGCTGGGAAGTGGCTGTCCTGGGATCTGGGCCCAAGCCCCTCTGACCTCAGACTGTGCTGAACCCCAAGATCAAGCCCAGGACAAAAGTCCAGGAGGCTGCCCGCCTCTGTGTGGTGTGCCCACCTGTTCTGGCTCACCCTCCACCCAGAACTGAGGACGGGTTTCTGTTCCCCTGCCCAGCACGTCATTGCGTCATGTCCTCGTGGGCATGGGTGCTGCTGGGCCCGCGGGCTCAGCGGCTGGCTTGCTGTGATTGGCTCGGATCTTACCACCCTCCCAGCTCAGACAAGGCAGGGGCACACCTGCAGGAGGTGCCACCTTCACTGAGACCACCCTGGAGGTGGCAGCCCGCTGGGAGCCCGGGCCACGGACACCGTGCCTGGGCAGTTCTGCCTTCCAAGACCAGCGCTCTCCGTGGCTGGCTGGGAGCATCTTGATTTGTTAAATTTAATTTTGTAAATGTGATCTGGAAATTAATTCCATCCAGATGCAGGGGTCTCTCTCTCTCTCTTTTTTTTTATCCTCACCCGAGGACATTTTCCCATTTTTGTTTAGATAGAGTGGGAAGGAGAGAGAGGGAGAGAGAGAGAGAAACATCGACGTGAAAGGGACACATCGAGTGGCTGCCACCTGCACAACTCAACCAGGGCCGGGGACAAACTGCAACCGAGGTACGCGCCCTTAGCGGGAACCGAACCTGGGTCTCTCTGGACCGCAGGCCGACGCTCCAACCGCTGAGCCAAACTGGCCAGGGCCAGGGGTCTCTTCTGAGTGCATGCTTTTTAAAGGGCAGAAGTTAACATCGAGGCTGTTTTCTGGGGCAAGGTGTGAAGCCAGTCAAAGCTGCGGTTCATTCTGTTTGGGGACATTTACTGATGCAGATTCTTTTGCTGCTTCCCAAGCAACAAAAGGCGCCTTCGCGGATGGGGGATCTCGCGGAGCACCTTCCAGGGTCAGCCGAGGGGCAGCTGCCAGCAGATGGAAGCCGCAGCCCACCCCTCAGGCTGTCCAGGGAGGACGGAGGGGGCGAGCCCCTGAAGCCGCGGGTCAGGGAGAAACGTCGGCTCGGCCCACGCCACCTAATATCCCAGCGTCGAGCCCTCCCGCGAGGCGGCCTGCAGGTCAGTGCCACGGGCTAACCCGGGAAGTCAGGGCTGCGTAAATGCTCTCTCCGTGTCCCTGGGAAACCAGGCCTTACTTTCCTCATCTGTAAAATGGGGACAGCGATGCTCCCTAGGTGTGGGTGTGATTGTGAGGCTTAATGAGATGACGGGGCCGGGAGGAGACTAAGGCATGGATGGCGTGCTCAATGATCTAGGCCCAGAGAGGCAAAGTGACTTGCCCAGGGTCACACAGCAGGACTGAGGCTGCCCAGTGCCCTGGAGGAGCATGGGCTGGGGCCCGTGAAGCAGAGCCCACGGTACTCACGCCCCTCCCTGCAGGCCCAGGGTGCCCCCGGGATCCGCCCTCTGCCTCTCCCGCCCGGCTGGTAACAGGTGTGGCCGTGTGCTGTGCTCTGGCCAAGGGAAACACGAGCAGCAGCGTCGCGGCTTCTGACGCTTCTGAGTGGGAGTCACCCTGTGGTTTTACCATCACGCTTTTCCCTCCGCTGTGGGGACATCCTGCCCAGGATGGGGACCGCTTGATCAGCCTGCGTCGCAGAGTGACCGCAGAGAGAGCCGGGGTGTGCGCCAGAAATAAGCTTTGGGTCTGGAGCCCAGGGACGCCGGGGCTGCTCTTATCACAGCCTAACGGAGCCCTGCGGACAGACACACCCGCCTCGAACCCCGCCCTCACTCCAGCGCTGTGCGACTGCAGGCAAGTTCCCGCCCTCTCTGACCTCAGGGGGAGCTCCTTTATAGAGAACATCCCTACGCGGAGGACGGCGTCACTGGCAGGCCCCTCGCGGTCCCCCAGTGCTCGGGACTGCTCGCCTGCCTCCCTCCCAGCGCTGGGGGGCTGTTCAGACGGGAAGCGTGGACCCCAGCCCCCCTCAGCCTTTACCACGCCGCCAGGTGCGTAGTTTTGTGCCTCACGGGGCTGTCTGGGTTGAGCAACTGACCAGAACATCCGAAGCTGCTGACCCCACTCGGGCTGGACTCAGAGCCTGGGCGTGCCGGGTGGTGGTGCCAGCCCCGCAGGACTGGCCCGGGGGAGGGGACCCAGAGCACGGCGTTCTCAAGGCCCCAGGCCAGCTGACTGCCCCCCGCTGGCCACCCGCGTGGCTGGATACTTCTGGGCCCTGGGAAAGGGCAGCTTCAGGGAAGAGGTTTCATGGCCAGACGGGGGAGCCTCCCACCCTCTGGCTCCCGAGGATTCTCTGTAGCCCTAGAAACCCTCTCCCACTTGCCCGCCCCCGATGCCCATCTGCCGGGCGAAGGAACATCCACGCACTGCACAAGGCTCCACTCCGTGCCACCTGTGCCACAGACATTCCCTGTCCCCAGAGAGCTGACCACTGACCCCTCGTCCCCAGTCAGGCCCTGTCCCCCCGTGTCCGGGACAGATGGGACAGATGTTCCCTCTGCTTGTGCAGGGCCCTGGGTGGCGGCTGCTGCCATCTTCCCGACTGAAACCAACACGGGAAGGTGTGCAGTACCCGTGTCCGAACACCAAGGGCCCCTCGGCCGTGCGGGTGGAAGTGGGCCTGGTGGGGCGGCCTGCGGTCCTGCCAGACAGCCCGGACCAAAGCAAGCCCTTCTGTTCCTCCATAGAAACACAGATAAGTTATCAGAAGTGCTGTCCTCTTCCCTGCCTCCTGGCTGATTCACAGGCGGGGCGGGCAGGGTGGGCAGGGCAGGCGGGCGCCCAGCAGTTTTGCTGCTAATGGACCCCGGGCATCTACATAAAGCCCGGACCTGGCGCTGTAGATGTCTGGGATGCTGGAACATCGGCCTCTTGGCTGAGATCTGGTGTGTCCCCCAGACAAGTCCTGGCTTTCTGAATGCACCGCGGGTGGCAGAGCCAGTGGCCAGGACAAGGGCCCAGTGTCCCTCAGGCCTTGGCTGCTGCTAGAACAGGTGACCACACCAGCCTGGGCCCTGCCCTTCCTTCTCCCCCTGAGTAGCTGTGAGGATTAAGGACACCACACAGGTGTCTCACCCAGGAGATGTCCCATCCAGAGTCCCAAAGAGCAGAAAAGTCCCGGAGGAGGCATCTACCTGGCTCCCCTCGCACGCCCAGGGCCATCTAGGGTCCCCAGCCCCGCAGGCCTGGCCCACCGGGTTCACTGACCCCTCCCGGCCAGAGCTCGGGCTCACCCTGTCTCCACTCCACACAGCTCATCTCCAGTCCCCTCTCTGCCACCTGCTCTGCTAGACTCAGGCCCTGGCCCAGCTCTGGGCTCAGGCCTCCTCCCCAGGGTCCCCGAGAGGAGGCAGCTGGGTGGGGGCTTCCAGGGCCTGATTTAAACTGAAATCCCGACTCAGCAGGGCCCTAGCCTTGCCCCTCACCATCACGGCTTCTGTGGTGTCCGAGGCCCTTGCCCCGTGCACTGTTCGGAACACAGTCCTAGCCCAAGGGCCTCAGGGCCTCGCTGCCCTCAGGAGAAAGTCTAAGCACCCCCGGCCCTCCCCATGGCCCCCCAGACCCCGCGGCCTGTCCCACAGTCCCCGCTCTTGACCCTCAGGCAGCAGGGAATCTGCCTGGAAATGCTCGATCCTCTGGAGCACGTGGCCCCCCTCCGCAGGATCTCAGATGCACGGACCAAGCACACGCCCCTCCCGGGCACATGGGGCTCTGTGACAAGACAGCCCAGGCGCCCTGGGCCTCCGTCCACGCCCGTGGGCAGGGAGGTGGGGGGCTCAGTGGAGAACAAGGAGGAGGAACCCCTCCAGAGCGGCAGCTCTGACCAGGGGACGACCCTGTGCCCACGCTGGACGTCATCAGGAAACATGGCTGATTGTCACATCCAGGGTCCTGGGGGGCAGGAACGCACAGGCAGCCCCGACAGGGAGGATCCAGCCCAGGTGCCGATGGCGTTGCGGTGGGATCCCCACTTTTGGCGTCTCCTGCTCGGATCTGCCTCCTCCAGACCTGGGCTGGCTCTCGGCCCACCACTGACCGGCCGTCCGCCTCCATCAGACAAGCTGCTCGGCCTCTCCACGCCTCATCTTCCTCGCCTGTCAAACGGGCGAAGGATGGGTGCCTTCAGAGGCGGAGATAGCGCAGCAGAGCCGGCCCCGGCTGCACGCTCCGCCACGCCGTCTGCACTTCAAGAAGAACAGAGAGAAACTCTGGTCCTCGGTACTTCTGCTCCTCCCGAGGGAAGGCCTCTGTTTCGTGGTCCAGCTCCTCCTCCGCGCAGCCGGGCCCACTGTGCTGAGATGATGGAGTGGTCTGCGTGAGATCCCACGTGGATGTGCGCATGACAGAAATCGTGGGCTTCCAACGAGGATCCGACCCCCGACACCAGGGCCTGGGAGAAGTCTGGCTGTCTGGCCAAGCTCCTGGCTTCTGGCTGGTAACTACCACACTTTGGGGTCCCCACCCCAGTCCTGGCACCGCCCTCTTCCCTCGGGGAATCAGTTGGTGGTCTTATAAAAGGCTTGGGTCAGATTCCAGGTCTGATTCCAGCCCTAGTGATGGACAGGCCTTGCTGAATGACTTCACACACAGGATTATTCTAAGGCCTGAGCAGATGGGAAGACATTCACCCATGCATTTGAGGAAGGAGGGCTGGGGAGCTGGCCTCGATGGGAGGAGGGAAGATTGGAGGAGAGTTAAATCTCCTGCCTGACCGAAGGGAAGAGGTGGCTTCCCCAAGTGAGCATGGCATGACGGCAAAGTACTCAAGCCCAATATCAGAGACTGGGACTTAGACCTCCACCCGACTACCTCCCAGTGGTACCACTGAGCCCTTCAATGGGCACTCAACAAAGATGCCTTCCAAGTAGATTTTTCCTTATCATGAAAAAAATATATTCACCCCAAGAATCAGCCTCAGAATTATTAGGAAAATATTCTAAGCATCCCCATTAAAGTGAGAAAGAATGCCTAACAATTTTAAAGACTGTTTTAGAGGTACTCGCCAACATGATTGGACAAGAAAAACAGAACTGGAAAGCAGGAAATAGTTGTCATTGTTTGCAAATGGCATAAGTAAAGCTAAGAGAAACAACTGAAAAAGTATTACAAAGACAAGGAATTTCAGTAAGGTGGCTGAGTATAAAATTCATCTGTAGAAATCATCAGGTCTTATCATCTAAACAACAGTTGCTTAGAAGTTGTAGTGGAAGAAAAGGTCCTATTTGTAACAGTACAAACATAAATATGCAAGAATAAATGCAAAAGATATATATATAATATCTATATGAAGAAAACTCCAAAATACTATGAAAGAAATTCTGAACAAATGGGAAGACATACCATGTTCTTAGATAGAAATATTTAGCTTCATAAAAAGTTAATTCTGTTTTAATTAATCTATGAATTCAACACACTCTCAGTAGAAAATACTAACTGGATTTTTAGAGGGGCAGGAGTACTACACAAGCTAATTCTAGAGTTCCTACAACAAAAGAGCCATGGGGAATATACCAGGAAGACTTTAAGACATGTTGGTTGGAGTGTCATCTCGTACACCAAACGGTTGTGGGCTTAATTCCCGGTCAAGGCACATACCCAGGTTGCAGGTTTGATCCCTAGTCGGGCCACGTACAAGAAGCAACTGATTACTGTTTCTCTCTCATGTCAGTGTTTCTACCTCTAGCTCCCTCTCTCCCTTCCTCTCTCTAAAAATCAATAAAAACATCCTCGGGTAAGGATTAAAAAAAAAAAACCCAAAACACATCAGAGGCACAGCTGTAATAGTGAACATAGTCTAGTGCTAGCATATGGACAGAAAGACCAATGAATCCATTTCACACTTAATACTCAAATTTAGTATATGCTAAGCTTGCATTTCTCACCAGGGGGGAAAAGATGAACAATTCAGTGGATGGAGTTGGGACAACTGCCTATCATTTGTAAAACAATAAGGTTTGATTCCTACCTCGAAGCCTTCATCCAACTAAATTTCTGACAAAGATTTGAAGGCAAAAAATTAAAACATTAAAAAAAGTAAAAAAAAAAAAAAAAAATTTAACGATTTCAGAGTAGAGAACGCCTTCCTCAGTATGATACAAAACCCAAGAAGACATTAAAAAAAAATTAGCTACCATTTGATTACATAACAATTAAAAATTAAGCATAAAAAGAAAGCATCACAAATTCAAAGACGCACTAAAAACAGATCTGTAATGAGTATTTCCTTCATATATAAAGAGCTCCTGTAAATAAACAAGAAAGTGGCCAAAAATTCAATAGGAAAATGACAAAGGACATAAACAGCTAGCTCACAGCAAAAGCAATAAAATAAAATAAAAGCGAATGGCTCACAAACGTGAAAAGATGCTTAGTTTAACTCGTAGTGAGATAAACGCGTGCTGTTCCCCCCTCAGCACACTCCGACTGCTTTCCCGGGAACCCCTCCCCTTTCCTTACACTCACCATGGTCCCCTCCACCAGGGCCCTGGCCTCACGTGTTTTAATCACCTGAAGGAAAGAAGCTGTGTAGGATTAATCTCTGGGTCAAAGGATCGATTAATATTTGTTGAACAAATAATGAAGGAAGGCACCTGGGGCCCGTGGATTCCAGGCCCACGCACTTTCTGCCTAAAAGCCTACCATGTACTTGACCTCATTTTTGCAGCAGCCCTGAGAGGTAGGCATTATGTGCCCATTTCTCAGATGGAAGGACTAGAGCTCAGAGGACAGAACGGGCCATGAAGCCTGGTCTCCTGAGCTCTCCCAGATCCCTTCCAGGCCCTCCCCCCATCCCTCCCACCCAGCAGCTGCCCTGGGGGGTTGGGCGTTTGGTGGCACCCTGCCTTGGCGGGGCCCGACGCGGGGTGTGTGCGGCCCCTGCATGGCACTTACTTGTGCATGTAGCCCTCGGAGCCGGCCGTGAGGTTCACCTGCATCACCGCCTGGAACTCTGTCTCGTTGCAGCAGTATTTGAAAACCGTGTTGTTATGGTGACAGCAGAGGGTGAAGGTTTTGTTGTCCGAGAGCCGGGGGCAGTGGAAGCCGAAGTGGTAGTGGCCTTTGTGGTCCGTGTACGGCTCACAGACCCGGAAATGCGCGGACAAGACTGGAAAACAGAGTCGCCGGGCTCGGTGGGGCCCCTCACCAAGCCACGAGCACTGGGGTGGGGCCCGATGGGTCTGTCCCGGGGTCCTGCCTGCCTCATCTCTCCCAGGGGGGCCAGCGCCAGCTCCACCGGTCAGGAAGGCCCCTCTAGGCTCCCATCACCTCCCTTCGACGACAGCACTGCTCACACCGTGTCCCCCCGACCGGAGGCTCCCGCGGTCCTCCGCAGCCGCTCCGCACACAGCAGGCACTCAGCTAGGAGCATCCGCTGAGCCTCACCAGCTCGGCCCCATTCAACACCTGGCTCCTCGGGCAGGGGGTGTGAGGTCCCCTCTACAGATGCAGCAACTGAGGCTCAGAGGCTACGGCGACCTGCCTGAGCGGGTCAGCGGTGGGGGAGCTGGAAGCCACCGGGCCTGCCCAGATACGGGACCCCCTCCACGCCCCCATCCCTGGCTTTAATAATCTCCGCTGCTGTGGGGTCTGGGGGACCTGCTGACAAGCCCAGGCTGGCCTGGGGGTGAGCAGCCTGGGCACAAGAAGTGGGCCCCCTCGTGGAGACAGGGCGTCCCCATTCGTAGCTTGGTTTCTACTAAAGCAGCGCCTAGCAGGTCCCCAGGAGCCTGTCCCGGTGGCCCCCCCCCACCCAGTGCCAGCTGCCCTGGTCGAGGAGAGAGGCGCCTGTTTAGCCACAAAGCTGCTGCCAGCCCAGGACAGCATTTACCAGTCGGGCCCGTGGTGATAAACAGGAGGGAGAGCCTGAACAAATATAACAATGGAAAAAACCTGGAGCCGCTGTCTCGGGCTTAATTAGTGTCTTCATAAAAGGGATCGCTGTATCTAATTTGTACGGCTGAAAGGGGCCCTCGCTGGCTGAACGTCGCTCCCACCACACAGGCTCCGCTGGGCACAGGCTCCTCCCGCAAAGCTCGGGCTCCGTGCGGGTGGTCGGGACGCAGCCCCTGCCCCCGCACCTGCCGGGCTGCCCGGGGGCGTCCCCGCTGGCCTCGCTGGCCCGTGGGCGGCCCGGGCGGCCTTGGGAAATCCCCTGCCCTGCCCGAAGTCCAGCACCTCTTCCGCGGACAGGGGCACGACCCCTGCAGGGGGAGGGTCCCAGCGTTCAGGACACAGGGAGCTCCAGGCCCTTTCTCAGCCGGCACCTTGGGACACAGAACACCTCTCGTGGGACGCGGGGGTCACTAAGTATGGCCCAGGAGGACACGCCTTCTCGGTGAACCCTGTGGACGCCCACTGTGCAAAGGGACCAAGGCCTGGAACCGTGGTCGTAGCGTACAGACTGCCGCATTGGACAATCCTGAGGACTGGTCAGAAATGCAGGTTCTCAGGCCCTTCGCAGACTTTCCGAATCAGAAGCCCTGACTGGGGGAGGGGTGGGAAAACCCTGAAGGTGATGCTGATGGGCTTGCGTCTGGGGCCCCTGGCCTAGGGCACGACACGCTGGAGGGGCAATGGTCACGGGGGGTTGGGGGGAACCGAGAGAGACAGACAGAGAGACAGAGAGAGAGATAGACAGAGACAGAGGGAGAGACAGATACAGAGAGACAGCGGGAGAGACAGAGAGAGAAGGAGAGACAGACAGAGAGACAGAGGGAGAGACAGAGAGACAGGGGCAGAGACAGAGAGACAGGGGTAGAGACAGCCGGAGAGCCGGGCCTGGCGCAGACCAAGGCTGAGCCTCAGGGCCTTCTCGGGCTTCCTTGCAGTCAGGGTCAGGGCGGCTTGTCTGGTCAGCCAGCTCTACTCCGGAGAAGCAGGACTTGGTTTCTGCCCATCTTCATCAACAGGAGCGTGAGAGCCCCCTGCGACCCCGGCTGGCGTCACGGGACAGCCTTGGAGCCGGTGGGTCCCAGGAGGTCCCGGGGTTCGAACCCCAGCCTCACTAGCTGTGTCGGCTCAGGCTAGCCGGCCTCAGTGTCTTCATCCACACAGTGGGATGCCTACCACATCACCTGCCTTTCACTTGCAGAGGCAGGGGAGAGAATTCAAGCCAGGCCCCCCGCAGGCTGGCTGGCAGCCACCGTGACCCCCCAGCGTCCGAGAGAAGGTCTCAGCTGAGCTCCAGGGCAGGTGTGTGGGGCACAGCACACAGCAGGTTGTCACTGCACAGTGTCAAACAGCAGCTCCTCACGAGGGGGTACCAGTGGGGCAGGGGAGAGACAATAGGGGCACCCCCGGAACCCGGCCCGCTGGCCCTGACCCGGGAAGGGGCTCCCTGCCCCCTCGCCCTCCCCTCCCGCCGAGCACCCGCGGAGGCTCTACCTGCCGAAATCAGCAGCGAGAGGACGGCGAGCGCGTTCAGGGACTGCTGGCCACAACTGGTCATCGTTTGGCTGGCATGGGTCCGTCCGGAGCTGCCTGTGCAACGAGATCCGGAGAGGTTGGTGTGGGCTGCGCGGGCGGCGGGACAGACCCGGCTGCGCTGCCCACAGCGGGGGCCGTGGCACAGGCAGCGCAGGGAGTTCGCCGGGGGCAGGGGCCGGGCCGTGGCGGGTGGAGACGCGCCATCCAATTTCCTCTCCGGGACACTTGACCTTCCCCCCACCAGTCAACTGTCACCTCCTTTTCTCTTCCCAGCAAAACGAGACTTAATCAAAGAACAGTGGCTCAGGTGGCGGAAATAACCGGGGGGGGGGGGGGGGGGGCGGGTGAGGCGGCGGCCGGGGCGAGCGCGCGGGGATGACAGTGGCTGGCTGACCCGCGGGGACAGCTCCTGACCTCCGGAGCTCGTGGCCCCGGGTCTCCTGCTGGGCCGAGAACCCTGACTCCCCTTAACCCCTCCACAGGTGTGCACTGGGCCGGGCACCTTCCGGGCACTGGGGCCACTTAGTGAATTAAGCTGACAAAGTAGAATGAAGTACAAACTGTCCCAGCCCTGGCCCGGGCCCCGCCGGCGCACGGACCGCACACAACATGCCCGAGGCCTCGGGGGTGCACCCCGAAGGGCAGGAAGCAGGGAGTCGAACAGGCACTTGTCCACCCGTGTTCACAGCACACAAGTCACAGTAGCTGAAGGGTGGAAACAGCCCAGGGGTCCATCGACGGATGAATGGGGGTCTCTCCTGACTGTGAGATATAGTTCGGCCTTACAGAGGAAGGCCACCCTGTCCATATGGATGATCTGAGGACATGATGCTGACTCGTGTGGTTCCACTTTAGGGGGGCCCCGGGGGAGTCGGCTTCACAGACAGGAAGCGGAAGGGTGGGCGCCGGGGCCTGCGGGAGGAGGGACGGGGCGTTCGTGTCCCACGGAACCGGTTCGGTTTGGGCAGATGAGAAAGTTCTAGAGATGGGTGGTGATGGCGGCACAGCAAAGTGTATGTACCTAAGGCCACTGGACACTTACAAATGGTTCAAATGGTAAGTGTTACGCTTCGTGTATTTTACAATAGAGAAAGCTAGTTGGGGAAATAAAGCCGGGTGTGGGGGTGTAGAGAGCCGCCTGGGAGCTGCTTTGACAGGTGGTTTGGGGCCTCAGGAGGAGCAGAACTGAGCGAGGCCGGCACCAGCGCCGTGGCTCTCGGAAGAGAGCTGCAGACCGGGCTGCAGCCAGTGCAAAGGCCCTGGGGTGGCAGCACCGGGAGGCCAGTGTGGCCAGTGGTGGGGGTGGGGGGAGAGGCAGAGAGGCAGGATGGGATGAATGTGTTGAGCGCCTACTTATGTGTCAGGCTCTGGGCCAAAGGAGGCCCTAGTGGCACCCTCTTCCCTAATGGTACCCCATTATGATGTATGAATTGTGTCCCCTCAAAGTTCACGTTAAAGTCTTAATCCCCAGTTACTCAGAATGGGCCCTTATGGGAATTAAGGTTGATGACGATGTAATTAGTTAAGATGAGGTCATACGGGAGTAGGGTGGGCCCTAACCCAACATGACTGGTGTCCTTATAAAGAGGGAATTTGGACACAGATGCACACACAGGAAAAGCTGAGCTGATGAGCCTACAAGTCAGCAAACCCTAAGGATCACCCCCAAACTCCCAGAAACTAGGGGTGAGGCCTGGACAGTCGCCCTGAGGGCTCCCACAGGAGCCAGCCCTGCAGACGCCTCAATCCGGGATGCTGGCCTCTGTGAGCCCGTTCTGCGTGTGAGCCCGTCTGCAGGCCTGTTCCGGCAGCCTCCGGAAGGGGGCAGGATGCTCACCCGCTCACCTGGGAGCAGGCCCTGATGTGCGCGGTGGACACCTGGTGAGCTGGGTGGCGCCCACCTGGGTGGGGACCCTGTGGGCCCTCCCGGCCAGGCTGTGCCCCAGCTGCAGAGCAGGTCCCCGTGGGCTCCCTGCCCTGTTCCACCCCGGTTCTGATGTTAGTGCCGCCCCGTTCCCCTGGTGAGGCCTCCGGCCCCTGGGCGTGGTCCCGGAGACGTGCATGGTGAGATCCGCTGTCGGGGACCACGGTTCTGGAAGCAGAAACAGCAGGGCCGCACGCTGCCCGCAGGAGGGGCCCTCTGACTGCCCGACTGTCCTGGGCACCTGCTCAGGCCCAGCTACAGGCTGGGCTCCGGGTCACCAGTAAGCTGGCAGCTCGGGCAGGGACCCTGCAGGGACAGCAGCCGGCCCTGGGGCAGCTGGGTCCTGCTCAGAGGCAGACAGAGCTGCAGGCCACCGGGCGACCCAGGGGCCGGCGGCCTCGTTCAGAGCAAGGAGACAGGGCCAGGCCCAAGGCCAAGCGCAGGAGGCTCAGGACCCAGCCCTGACCTGTTCGCCTCTCGGCCAGCAGCAGACAGTGTGGCAGCAGGGAGGTGGCAGGGGCCTTCTGAAGTCTGAGCCAGAATACAAGAAGGGAGGGTGGCAAGACCCAAGGATGGAGCTGAAGTGCTTTGCCACAGTGATTACTCCTGTGACCCTGTGTCCACGCCTGGGGAAGGCCCCCGCCTCTCCGGCAGGACAGGCCCCTGGGCTCCCGAGCCCGCTCTGCCCTGAGGGCTGTAAGCCGCTTAATTGCTCTGAGCCTCAGAGTCCTCCGCCTCCCTCTGGGCCCTGGGAGGATGAAGGAGATTAAAGCATTTGAAAGTGCTTAGGAAAGGATTTCTGCTGGGGAACCTAGAGATCGGCGGAAAATGCTCCAGTGGGGTGGGGGTGAGGGTGGGGTGGGGAGGGACAGGTCCTCTGAGATGACTCCCCCTCCAACGTGGCCCCAGTCTACAGATGGGGAAGCCGAGGTTCGCTGAGGGCAAAGATGAGACTCCAGTCTCCAGGCTCTTCTCGTCTGAGAGCTGGTGGTTTTGTTCAGTGAATGCCAGGGGGGAGGCGTGTCCACCTCTGCCAAGTGCCCAGGCCTCTCTCCTGCGGCTCACACTCCCCGCAAAGCCCTGCATATACTGGGGGAGGCTGTCACTCACACCTGGGGTGCCCCCACTCATTCCTGTGAATAAATCCTGTACAACCTTGGAAGCTGTTCCAGTAACACCTCCTCCAGGAAGACTGCCTTGATTCTCCACTGAGACAAATCTCAGTCTCTCCACTGAAGCCTATCATATTCCATTTCTTCTTTCATTCATGTATTAATTCATTTATTCTCTCAACATCTGCTCACTGACCACTGACTGTTGAAAGGGACCTGAGCTGGGTTCTAGGGACAGGGAGGAAGGGAGTCCCTGCCCTCAGGTGCACTGGACGAGGATGCCCACCAGTATACCTTGGGTGATCGGCCCCCATGCCCTACTCTATCAGCCCAGGAGCGTCCTGGGCCAGGGCCTGGCCAGCAGGGGATCATGGCCACAGGGCTTGGGCTCCAAAGTCCAGCCAACTGACACCAGCCCCGGGCCCTTGGGACTGTCTGGGGGGACAGAACAGCAGCCTCAGGGCCTGTAGTAGGGCTACCCTGGCTTGTGGGCATTTGGGCCCCGCACACGGCAGGTGTACCCCACACTGCGCAGGGTGGCCGCGTCTGTTCCCAGTGGCGCCTCACTCCTGTGATTGCTCCGTCTCCTTGGCCACTGCTCGGGCTGCCGAGATCGGTGGGGAGGGCGTGTCAAGCTGTCAGGTACCCCCACCTGGGACACCCCGAGGTGACAGGTACAGGAAGCTGCTCCAGCAGTAGCGGGCACGTGGGCTACAGGGTGAGCAGCTCACCTTGCCCCACCCCCAGGCTCTGCTTCTTCAAGGACTGCTGCCTGGGGTCTGGCTTTCGGTGGCTGAGTTCTTCCCGGGAACTGGGCTCTGGATTTTACCAGTGGCCTCAGGCCACCCCCCTCAGCCAGGGAGGGGTCATCAAACCCCCATCTCCTGAAGAAGGAAACGGAGGCTCAGAGAGGCGAAGTGACTTGCTCAAGGTCACACAGCACTCAGCAGCTCCGGCAGGAGGCCACCCCGCCTCCAAATGTACTCTCCCTCCCAGAAGGCAGGGGTCCCGGGGCCTCCCGAGGCCCCCAGAAGGCACACGCACCACAGGCAGACTCGATGTATCATCCAGGTTCTATTTCTCTGAAAATCAGTAAGCTGCCCACATCGGTTGCTCGTGGCCGACAATAAAACTCAAATAGCTGTAGGAACATTCCGGATGAGCGGGGACTCTCCTGAGCTCTGACCGCATCCGCAATCACGAGTCAGGCAGGCATCTCTGCGGTCGGCCCCCCGGTCAGCCGGGACTGCTGTTCCCATATTTGAGGATTATTTTTAAACATCGAATTTGGCGAGGCCGAGAGGAGAGGAAGGAGGCCGTATGACGAGAAACAGAGCCGGGGAAGATGAATTAAGTCCTGGCGGGAACAGAAGATCTGTTTCGGTGGGACAGGCTAGGCGGGAGAAGGGAGGGGGGCGGGGGGCAGGGCCGTGGCCCTGGGTGGAAGGGGGCTGCCGTGGACACCCCAGGCCTGACATCAGCCCCGGGCCTAATACCTGGAGATGCTCAGCATCCGCCCACCGTGCTCAGCCTACCGAGCCCTCCCTGGGTGCGGCCCAGCCCATCATCACCTCTTGGCTGGACCAAGTCCAGCGCAGCAACCCCCCCCCCCCAGAAGCTGGGCCCCTGGGCATGGGCCCCATGGCTTAGGGCTGAGTCCTGGCTCGACCTTTTGCAACCACACCCCATGTGACCTGGGGCAAGTCTCAGTGTCCTTGGCCCTAGAATGGAGACAAAAATAGTATCTAATTCCCTGTGACACTCGAATAAAATGATGCATCAAAGCATTTGGGGCAGGCTAGCGTGCCGTGGGTGCCCCACGGTGAGTGCCCGCTATCTCTGCCCAAGCTTTGCCCATCAACCAGGTGCTAGGTGAGCCCCAGGGCCTGCTCTCTGACCACCCACCTGCCTCTCTGGGAGTCTCGGTGGCTCCGAGTTCAAGCCCACACTCACTCCCGAGACCCCCGTGTGGTCCTGGCGCCGCTGCCTCCAGTTCAGCCCTCCGGGATCTGCCTGTC